GTGTGTGTGTGTGTGTGTGTGTGTGTGTGTGTGTGTGTGTGTGTGTGTCTCAGAGAAACGCAGCCGCGCGTGTCGGCGTCGCAGTTAAGGAGACATTAAACATACATGCGGCGCTTCGTGTATGTACATTCAGGAGCTACATGAGCGCAGGCCTGCGTCAGTCTGGACTGCTGCGGAAAAACACGCGAGTTTACGCGCCACATACGCACGCACACACGTGTCCGACAGGGGAGCATCCGGCACCGGGCAGTACCTCTGTTCTTCTGCTCCATGGCGAGCTGCTTCTCCAGAGTCTCCCTGTGCTCCCTCTCTCTGAACAGCTCCATCTTCAGCTCCGTCTTCTCCAGCTGCACCTGCTTCTCCTGAGCCCGCGCGTTGTCGATAGCCACCTTGAGCAGGCCCTGCACACACACACACATTTATATATATATATATATATATATATGAACACACAGAGATGTAGAGAAGAGGGGGGGAGCAGAGAAACAGAGTGATGTGGGCTATTTAAGAGGAAGTGACAGCAAACCACACTGAAAGTGTGTCACAGCGGTTCTTTGAGTTGCCAACAGCAGTGAAGCAGGACACAAGGGCCCACAGCTGCCTGCTGCTGCATGGGTCCTTTGTCAGGCGTAGTACCACCGTTGCTGGTTCTTTTTATCCGGGTCAAATCTCACATGATCTAGTACCAGAGTACTAATAATCATTCGTATTTTAAATAACAATAGGTGATGCGATAGAGTGCTGGGAATGCCTGACCCCTTTTGGTCAAAGCGGTGAAATGCGAGTGTAGATAAAAAAAATGAAAACCAGAGAGACGATCCCCTGAGCGAGAGGGTCGGAGGAGAAAATGTTAGAGCGGCGGAGGAAACGCCGCCACACTAAAGGTCAAAGCTCCGGTCCACTAAGTAGAGGGTAAGAGCTTTACAGGCAAGGGTCAGCATCTTTACTCTGCACACGGACTCTTCATGTCTCTTCCTGTGCCTCTCCTCCCGTTTAACCGCACAAGCTGGCGGCTGTTACTGGATTGGATCCGATGTATACAAAATTAAGTCTAGCACATTTTCAAGCTCTTCGCACGGCACGGCTTGAATGAATAATATGAATGACAAGTATCTCATCATGTATCAATTACGTTACCGCCGTTCCAAATACACTCCTGACAGTCCTGGAGGGTGAAGACACTGGGTCCTCTCTAGCGGAAGCTGTACAGTACGCCGCCGCCATTTTCGTCACAATTGCTCCCCATCCACACGCAATTATATCAAATGCGCTGGGCTATATCTTACTAATTGCTGATTCTTCTGACCCCAATTTATTCTAAGTTGCTTTATCTTCATTTTCTGCTTGGTTTCATTTTGTTGATTTGTGTATGAATATTCAGCGTGCGGATCATTATCAAAGACGACTCGGTGGAGTGTTGAGAGACGGCTTTACTCGTGGCTTTCTAATTACCTCGCAGAGCCAGAGGAGAGGCAGGACTCTTGATGCCAACGGTGCAAGTGCAATGAGAAGGGCAGCAGTGTGCACACATCATTACACTCAGACAGAAGGCAAATACATTCATCTTCCTGACTGGGGGGGGTTCGAGCTGCAGCGTAAATGGCGCTCTGAGTAGACGGGTGTTGTTAAGGTATGCAGATTTACAGTTGAGTGTATCTGTAGTCCTGCTGTCCATGTTAAGTGTACTGGCGTCCACCTATTGGACCGTGAATGAGCTCTTGTAGAAGGTCTCCATGACTTTTAGCATGATGTCAGCATGGAGCTTTCACTTTGTGGAATACTACGGCTTTAGAAACACCTGCTTAGCTTTTGATTTGGGCACAAATGGGAGTATTTTCACAAATTAGGTCCTCAAGCCTTGACGACAAAATTGATAGTTTGTTAGTGGATATTTAAATGACACACCTGGTAATGGTGTAGTTAGTTGATAGAACTAATGCTTCTTGGTTAAAGTTACTACAAGGAACTTTTGTATTGTGTGGGTTTTGGCGGTCCCTGTGGACAAAAGTGGTAGTGTTTCAGAGCACCAGAGTCCCTCGTTTTACTGCAGCAGGCGTCTGACAGTCGCCTACGCTCACTCCCGGTTCTGGTTTCTGCAGGTGCCCGTGCCGTATTCCCAGCAATACTGCACGGGCCTCCAACAGCGTGGTGTCGGTGTTGGCTCCCAGCAGAGCAGCGAGGCGAAGCTCTGCTCCTGGCTGGAGTACAAAGCCGGATCTGGGTAGGTCTGTGGTGCGCCGGCTTGCTGCCGGAGGCCCCGCTATAGTCTAAGCTGGACTAGTGTCTGGTGAACCTCTCTGGTTTGCAACCCGGTGGCCCCGATGACAATCATTAAGAATAACTACATAGAGATAGCCCATCTTCTTGCTGATAATAATTCTTTCTAATGTCGGTCATACAAGCATTCGTTTTAATTGAAGACTGTTTCATTGCGAGTTTCATGTTCCCCGCAGTAACGCTAAGTTTGACAAAAAAACAAATCTTAAATCGACGTTGTCTTGCAGCTTTTTCGCTGATCTTTCAATCTCACACTTTGTTTTGAGCGGATGGAGTTTGCTAAATTATCAAGGACAACAGCTGTTGAAGGCTCTGAAGAAAGCTTGTTAGTGGACCTTGGGTTAAGATATCCGAGGCGATGAATGGTTTGTGTTTGGAAAAGATTGTGGCACCAGTTAGGTTAATGGCAAATTTGCCACTACAGTTAAATAAAAGCAATGTTCTCTGTTTGAAGGAGACGAGAGACGGGAGACGTCAGATACCCTGGATGTATTATGCATCCCGACCTCAACACTCTTACATTACGCTGCGTGTTAACAAAGTCACACTGCTTCCTGCTAGCTGTAAAGATGTTTGAAGCTGTTTAAACAAAACTGCACAGCTTTACTGGAGAAGACAAGTCTTGATCTCAAGTAATATTGAAAATATATTTCTTAAAGCAACGGCGTATAGAATTTTATAATGTTCCAGGCTTCCTTGAAACTGACAATATAGGCCTGGTTCTAAAGGTGCTAAATGAGATCTTTTGATGCGTAAACCATCAGAAGATGCTGAACTCACTGCTCCGAAAATTTTGTCCAAATGCGTTAAGTGTCTTATTAAACTATACCTGTATGTTGGTGAGGAGAGTCTCTATTGACGACAAGCCATCTGGGAAGAGAAATGGTGAGGGGAAGCCAGGAGGCAGATATTGATGCTGTCCGGCCAATGACAACCTCTCGTAGCTATCTCTTGCTGTTGGGGTGCACATTGAGTTGTCCTCTGCAAAGAAACACAGAAACATTAGAAATTGATTCATCATTCATAGAACACTATTTGTGAAACTTGAAAAAAACAACCAAGTGTTATATAATATGTGAGTAGTTTTTGGCAATGCTGACAAATATTGACCCTGATTTGAATGGAACCAGTAGGGGCGACTGGATTATTGATTTCCAGCAGCCAATCCCAGCTCCCCCTTCCTCCCAGACAATGTAGTGGATTGGCTGGCCCCTCGGAGACCCCTTTGTATTGCTTCTTCTCAAGTGTGGGGTTAAACAATATCTACCGGGACATAAATCCAGCCTCCTCCATTTAAGAGATGTCATGCGGACTCCGAAATCAGAAGCAGGCCCGCGCTTCAGACCCCAGAGGGCTCCGGGCTTCCTTTTGTGTATGCACGCACGGGTGCCTGTCAAACCTAAGATGACATCATCCTCCATTCATCACCGGCAGAGAGGGGTAGGGCCCTGCCATCTGCCGTCCAGCCTTTTCTCCACCGGGCCTCAGAGGAGGAGAGAGGAGCCGAGGAGGGAGGGAGGCGAACCGGCAGACACAGATACAGCCTGGTCAAACTAAAACAGTATGTCTGACACATGTTGTTTTTTTGTCCAGTGAGCTTTTATCAAGCCAACAATTTTGGAAATGCTACCATCTTGCAGAGAGCCGGTTTATTAAACACATCCAGTCTAAAAATGAAAAAAAGGTCTCTGCAGGAAGTCTGCGCCATCAGCTGTTTAATTGTTAATTCCATGGAAAGGGTGGGGGGGGGGATAAAGTTTTATTTGTAATGTGGAGTCCTGGCTGCCTCGTGCACGGCACCTCTCTGCTCTCATCCAGTATTCATATCTGTTTGTGTGGCAGGCAGAATCTTGTACAAACAGCGGAGTGGAGCCGAAACAGCCCCAGCCTCTCCCTCCCATCAATATTCACCAACGCTCGCCAAGTGCTGCGAACAGCTGGTCTTACATTAATTAGTTTAAAGTATTTATTTCACCCATCCTCAGAGCAGATTGAGCAAAAACATTGGAGATTATTTCGAGCATCTGCAAATGCCCTGGAAACATCTCGGCGCCAAAAGTCGAGTGTTAGGATTCACAGTTTAGGTTTGTAATTTGAAGAAGGATTTTTTTTTTTATCTTCCATGAGGGGAAGACGGTGAAATATGCACCGCTGGTCCGTGGAGAGAGTAAACAACCTTTTCTCCTTTTTCTTCAGATGGAGTTCACTCCTGTTGATTAATTAGAATGGATGGTTGCCTAATGGATTACAATTTGTTTATAATTTGACTTCATAAAAATAATGAATTGCCTACTTTTAAGAAGCCACTCCTGTGCTAATTTGTTTTTGTTTGCCGCAGTCCTGCCTGTGTTTGGAGGTGGGCGTCTGGGTGGAAACTCTCCTTTACACGGCGGCACGACATGAAAGTCCCATTTTATCTCAATAAAATAGCTAATCAAAGATCAAAAGCATTACAGTTGGCTCCAGCTCAGGTTGATATAGATGTATTGCATGCATTATATGCATGCATCACCCACCTCCAATAAAATCACCATAACAACTAGAGACGTTAGTAGACCTCGGGGAAAGGTCTGCTGTTGTAGCTTTGTAATTGATTTGTACTGTAGGCACTTTGTCCCTTATTTAGTGTTGGCATTAATCATAAATCATTGCTTTAACAAACTCGGGCTTCCCACTCAGCAGGCCTCCCCTCCAACACAATGTCGGATCACACGGAATATTTGATGGCTTTGTTGCGGGGGAAACAACCTGTCATGCTCTGGGAAAAAAAAGAAAAGAAAGCAAACAGCGTGTTTTGTTCGACAGACTCCGACTACAGTACAGCACCCCCTTGTCAGATAACATTTCCACCAGGAGCTATGCATAAACACAGCCGTTTACAAACACAAAACAAAAAAGGAAGTGGGAAGCTAATAAGTGACTAATTTAATCAATATAATCAAAACAGGCTTAATGAAACTCAGATGTAAATTCCAGCGGAACAGGATCTAGATCTGTGGTTTCTGTAGCCCCCCCCCCTCCTTTTTTCTCTCTTTGTGCCTGGCTGCAAATGCTGGCATGTGTGTGTTTGCATGTTTATTTCTCACCATTGCTCCGGAATCATTGACTTCAACTTAATTACAGCGACAGGCGTTGGAGTGATGGGGGCCGGGTGGAATGGAGTGCTGTTTCCAGGTGATATTTCTCCACTAGCGAGCCTGCCAACAGCAGCTGTGACAGCCTCTTGTGCTCAACCGTACGGTAAAGGTACAGTTAAGGCCCTCCCCCCCACCGACTATGAAATACTGCGTGGAAAAACACTCGCAGGTCACCCCTGTCACAAATAACATTTCATGCACAACTGTTTCGGCGGATAATAGGAGCCACAAATAAAAATGGGACGCTGTAAATACAATGCCTTCTGAATGAAATGCCATAATTTAAAACAACGCCCCTCCCTCCCTCCTCCCTCGCTCCGTCCTCCTCCACCCTGCTCTCAATAGCTGCAGAGGGAGTCCTTGACAGTGTGCTAGCAATGATGAATCACCTATCCAGTTAATTTTCTCACTCCTCGTGTGTTGTGCTGCTAAAACAGGGGCCCAGGAATTGACTTGACAAACTATGAATGTAAGAAATATCACTTGGAGGGATCTGGGCTTATCTCCAATTTACATGTTATTAGATTTGTGTTGCAAGCAAGGCACTTGGACCTAGCAAAGCTGAGGCAAAAAAATAAATAAAAAAGATGTGGCACATGATAACTGGAGATAAAACATGTCTAAAACCCACTTGAAAGCCTTTGAAATATTTGATGGGAGAGTCGCGGGGAGCAGAGAGAGAGAGAAGCAGAAGGAAACTGGCCTGATTTAAAATGTGACAGACACACACTGCAATCTGTGGTAAATCTAGAAGAAACCTTGGGAAATTTAGCTGCAATCTCTGGATAAATAGCTGTAATTGACCTTGGGAGTTGAAAATGTGCCATATGTTTCTGGTTCCTGTGTTTGAAACTGGGTCCCTCAGGACAATTCAGCTGAGTCCTCGCACGGAAGGCAGAGGAAGGTACGGCGAGACACACAAAGAGAGAGGACGAGAGAGGGATGCCGGGAAAAGGAGATAGATGGTTGGAGACGGAAGACAGATGGATGGATGGATGGATAGGTGAGGCTGAGGAAGAGCAGGCTGGAATAGAATGGGTGTGCAGAGAATGAAAGACTGACAGAGAGGAAGAGAGATAGGCGAGGGAGAGGGGGGGGGGGGGGGAAGGGGAGCAGAGGTACATTTGGCCGGCCAGTCAGTGTGATATATTGACAGGTGAAGCCTTTGTCCTTGCAAACCGGTGTTCCTCCCAGCAGGAGGAACTGAATGCTAAACCTGGAGGTTGTCAGCACAGCCAACACAAAGCAAGGCGCTGCTTCTCACTGCACAATTACATTTGATTTGACCTGCCACAGGCTGCCGAGGAACCAGCCTCCTTCAAATGGAGTAGTTATGACCTCTCGGACTGCCATTAGCTAGCTAGCGCAGCATTATTCCCCCTGCACTTAGCGCGCTGGATTTGGAAAAATCTTGTCAGGGGAAATATCTTGTCTTCTGGAACACATGCAGCGATGGGCAGGAAAAAAAAAAAAAGTAGTTGCCTGCAATTTGAGCACTTTAAAAAAACATGAGGCCAGCTTATCTTGCGAGTGATGTCTGCACTCTGAAAGGTCTTTCAGGCAAAATACATTCAGCTTTAGCTGTGTGACAGTTTGAAGCAAGAGCTCTTATAGTGTGTCATAACCTTATTTGAATAAATGTAGATATTGTTTTATGTCTCTTGCAAAAGCAAGATTCCAAGTATCCTCCGCATCCTTTACAGAAAAATGTTACTTGATAGTTTATAATCAAACTACTGTAGGGTTAGATTGACTTGCTGGCACACTTCTCTTAAAAGGACAGTATACCCCAAAATCTATACTGCATATTTCCTCTTACCTGTAGTGCTATTTATTAATCTAGATAGTTTTGGTGCGAGTGTTGGAGATATCGAAGGTAAGACATGTCCGTCTTAAAATATAATGGGACTGTGTGGCAACCGGTTCAACAGCAACGTGTCTTTCCATGAGTCATGACCCGGTTACTCAAGATAATCCACAGAGTTTGTAATGAGGATTTTAATGGAGGGACTACTTTCTACACCCCCCCCCCAACCGTATCACTGCGCAGAACGCCGAGAGACTCGCGACGCAACAGCGGGAGACGCAAACATCAATAGGCTCGTTCGACTTGAGCCAGGCCTGCGCAGAATTGATCACCGGCGATCGGCGCACAATGCATGCTGGGTAGATTTGCATCCGACTTGCTCTGACGTCATGAAAACGTGCGTAACGATGATCTCACGTGAGCGAGGCGGCCGCAGATTTTAGAGCCAGGCGATGCAGAATTGCTCTCCACCGACTGCATGACCCCAGGGCATGATGGGACTTGCGCTGACGTCATGATCACGTGGGCAACGATAACCTCACGAGAGCGGGGTGGCCGCAGATTTTAGAGCCAGGCGCTGCAGTTGCTCTCCACTGACTGCGTGACCCCAGGGCATGATGGAAAACTTCTTGCTGTCTTCGGATCAAAGAGCTGATTGGCTCTTAGATTTTCTTTATTGGAAAAGGTGGGCGACCGTGGCTCACTTTGTTAAGAGGGTTGTCTGGTGACTACAAGGTTGGTTGTTCGAACCATGGCCTTTGACGTGTCGCATGTCAAAGACAGCCCACTGCTCCCCATATTTAGGGATGGGTCAAATGCAGAGACAAATTTATCCTTAATTAACAGGATAAATATAGTATAAAAAAATGTAAATCCTAATTTTCTGTCTAATTGTAATACTTAACGCTAGATTGTTGGCTTAATAGCCATCTAGTCTCATTTTGTGCAATAACAATAATAATATATAAGGTTATTTATTTAGCATCTGTAAATAAAGATATTTATTGAGAAAGCCTACATCCTACTTGATGTCAATA